AAGCTCTACAACATGTGTTAATAGAAAACTTAACGAAGCTTGGCAGCAGGTTTTATGAGTTTAATTTGCTCCTTCTTTTGACTACGTCGTTGTTAGGAAAAGATTCGTCATGTTCTTTTTTCCCCTTCCTTTAGGATTTTTATTAAACAGGTTGCTCTGATTCTGAGCTGGGATAAGCCCAAGACTTATGAGTACTGACTCACACGTCGTCGAACAGCAGCGAGTTTCGATGACTTGCAGTGTTCGGTGAGAAAGTTTAAACCTAAAAGGATTTTTCATTTTTTACACTAGAGTTGTATTTATATTAGAATTACTGTAAAATACGTTGGTGATTGTGTTCTCGTATAGAAAAAGAAAAAAAATATATACAGAACGAAAAAACAGGAATTCTACACAAAATCTTACGGTAAGATTTTGTAAGAGGTGCATAAGATTCCTATTACCGGAATGCTACAGAATGTTTTTAAAAAGAAATTTCCGAACTATGGAAAAGATTATTTCAGAAACGCATTTTAGAGAAAGACTTGTGAGGACTCTTTTTTTTAACCAAAAGATAGCCTCGTCTCTTCTCTTTCGAACAACAAAAACCGTCTTCATTTTGAAGTTATTAAAACGATGATCACGTTGCTAACGTTTTTACCAATAATAATCGATGGACAATGTTACGTTGGACTATGTTTACTGTGATTGTTGTTCACTTCCAAGCGCAGTGCATCGAATTAGTCTCACTGCTACTTTACGATCTACAGATATGTTGTAGTCATAATTCAAATTGGAATTATGACTGAAGAATATCTAGTCATAATTCAAATTAGCAGTTATAATTCCAATCAGAATTATGACCGGCTCAGTCATAATTCAAATCCTTTCATTCAACATCATGATCAAAGCTATTATTTATATTATTTACAAGTTTGATTGCTTTTCAACTAGAATCGGATCCTTATGCTCTTAGTCCATAATATATTTTATTTTTCTTTGTTTCTACTCAGTGTACTGTACATATTGAGATATTGGCGGTTTATGTGTGTACAAGACGAGAAAAGAAATAGAACAGTGACAGTGAAGAGTGTAACAAGTGGACACTTGTGTTTTTGATCCCGGAAATTAAGCACAATTGATCCCGTATACTAATTTTTGCGAAAAAATACACAAATGACCCCGGTTTTTCTAATAATTTTTAATTAGTTATATAATAACACAACCGATCCGGGGAAAAGCTATTTTTTGTCGTGAATAGCATAACTGATCCCGGAAAACTAGCTAGCGATGGCACTGTATCGTCCTTGAACTGAGGATCATTGACAAGCTATGTGGTCTCACTTTAATGATAGGATTTAAGTGCACAAAACACTGATATTATGGAAAAGACAAAAGTACAGCACAACAGTTCGACATAAAAGAAACAAAAACAACCTAGTGAAAAATGTAATCATATACGTATTTTAATCTTTGGATAGTGCTAATTTCACTTTTTTTGGTCTACCTTTTCCTTTTATATTCGACTTCACAGTGAATTTTTTTCTCTTCGCACACTTGAATACATATATATACTTGACGGTTGTAACAATGAAATACTATGTATGTGATCAGATATGATTTTGTCTGACTAGGTGCTAGTCTAACAAAAATAAACAGATATTGAAATTGATATACTTAGCTAGAGGCAGTGTGTCTGTCTTCCAGTGATTATCAGTGTCGGTGCGTCAGTGTCAGTATTTCGATGTTTCAGTGATTGTCGGTGTCATCAGTGTCAGTATCTCAGTGTTCGCACCGACACTGAGCCATCCCTATACGGGATCAATTGTGCTTAATTTCCTAGATCAAAAATGTATTTATCCGTAACAAGTCATAAACTGTCTTTTATGTGCTATGAAATTCATTGTGATGTGTTAAGTTTCTTTTTGCTTTCGTCTGTATAATATTCTGCAGTCCAGAGCGACATGTATAAATAGTGTGGGTGAAATTATCTCACTTGTAACAAAAATAATAAACTAGAACATGTCATCTTCTTCAGTATCCGCCCTCCAAGCCAATATTGATTTGGAAAAACCTTTCTACGAAGAACTCGAAAAACATATTAATTCATTAAATAGTAGATATCGTGAAAATTTTGTAATAAGAAAAACAGACTTATGACAATGATAAATAATTGCGTGCCGTAATAAAACAGCGGTTGAAGTAGCTTCGAAATTCAGAGAACTGTTTTTGTTTTTGGTCCTCCACCTTTGTTGCATAGTGATAATGGCAGAGAATTTGTTGCTAATGTCATTATTGCACTGAAACACTTGTTTTCGGAAATGTGTTTTGTACTAGGTCATCCACGTCATTCACAATCACAAGGCTACGTGGAACGAGCTAAAACTGTTGCATTGGGTCAATGGATGTCAACAAACAATTCAGATCGTTGGTCAGAAAGCCTTTTGCCGGTTGTTTGTGGAATCAATACAAGAATATCAAGTGTAACAAAAATAACATTTGAAGTCATGTTTGGACAACCATCACGTTCGGATTCAGATTTTTGGAAAATTGTTAAAGAACATAATGTTGAGGATGAAGATCAGTTACTCAATCAGTTGAAAAACTCAATAGTTGAAAAATAACCAAACTTGTAAATAATATAAATAATAGCTTTGATCATGGTGTTGAATGAAAGGATTTGAATTATGGCTGAGCCGGTCATAATTCTAATTGGAATTATGTCTGGCCCACTCGTTAGTCATAATTAGAGATCAGCGGGGTCCAATTTTGTAGCCCCGAAACCCTCCCCGAAGCCCGAAGTTTTTCTTTTACATGACCCCGACCCCGAGGCTTTTTCCTCAGTGATCCCGACCCCGACCCCGGAAAAACCCGAAAATTTTCTATCCACGAGAAGCATCGTATGCACATGGCGACATTTCGGTAGAGACATGGAGTGTATTATCTCTATCATTTCCTTTTGATTTTCTTTTGTTACAGCAGCTTTATATTTTGATGATCAGATTATCTGGTTTTGTTTGTTTATGTATCCATTTACTAACTGTGAAA